GGTTGTGACCTGCCCAGAACGTTTATTACAAGCGCGTGGGGCAGAGCCTTACCCAGGAGCAGGGCTCCAGCTGCATTGCACCCTGTGTGGCCCTGCCCGCGCGGGAGCAGTGATAGAGCAGAGGGGAAGGGGCCGTTGTGGGTGCAGGGTGCTGTGCTGGGGTGATGGGCAGGGCCGAGGGGTGCTGGAGCACCCCCACTGAATGGTGCTCCTGAGCGTGGCTAGCCCTGGTCAGGAAGGTGTGCGCTGACATCACCTTGCTGGGCTCCCAGGTCGGCGCCGTGGTGTGGCCCTGCCCGCGCGGGAGCAGTGATAGAGCAGAGGGGAAGGGGCCGTTGTGGGTGCAGGGTGCTGTGCTGGGGTGATGGGCAGGGCCGAGGGGTGCTGGAGCACCCCCACTGAATGGTGCTCCTGAGCGTGGCTAGCCCTGGTCAGGAAGGTGTGCGCTGACATCACCTTGCTGGGCTCCCAGGTCGGCGCCGTGGCCGAAGCCACAGCCAGACCGTCTCTCTCTCTCGACTCAGGAGCTAACCTGGCCCTCAGGAGTGTGATGCATGGTACTGGCCCCGTGGTTGTAGCCATCCTGCCGTCCAGAGGAATCTGGCTGGGCCGGGGTGCGTGGTACTGGCCCCGTGGCTGTAGCCGTCCTGCCGTGCAGAGGAATCTGGCTGGGCCGGGGTGCGTGGTACTGGCCCCGTGGCTGTAGCCGTCCTGCCGTGCAGAGGAATCTGGCTGGGCCGGGGTGCGTGGTACTGGCCCCGTGGCTGTAGCCGTCCTGCCGTGCAGAGGAATCTGGCTGGGCCGGGGTGCGTGGTACTGGCCCCGTGGCTGTAACCGTCCTGCCGTCCAGAGGAATCTGGCTGGGCCGGGGTGCGTGGTACTGGCCCCGTGGCTGTAACCGTCCTGCCGTCCAGAGGAATCTGGCTGGGCCGGGGTGCGTGGTACTGGCCCCGTGGCTGTAACCGTCCTGCCGTCCAGAGGAATCTGGCTGGGCCGGGGTGCGTGGTACTGGCCCCGTGGCTGTAACCGTCCTGCCGTCCAGAGGAATCTGGCTGGGCCGGGGTGCGTGGTACTGGCCCCGTGGCTGTAACCGTCCTGCCGTCCAGAGGAATCTGGCTGGGCCGGGGTGCGTGGTACTGGCCCCGTGGCTGTAACCGTCCTGCCGTCCAGAGGAATCTGGCTGGGCCGGGGTGCGTGGTACTGGCCCCGTGGCTGTAACCGTCCTGCCGTCCAGAGGAATCTGGCTGGGCCGGGGTGCGTGGTACTGGCCCCGTGGCTGTAACCGTCCTGCCGTCCAGAGGAATCTGGCTGGGCCGGGGTGCGTGGTACTGGCCCCGTGGCTGTAACCGTCCTGCCGTCCAGAGGAATCTGGCTGGGCCGGGGTGCGTGGTACTGGCCCCGTGGCTGTAACCGTCCTGCCGTCCAGAGGAATCTGGCTGGGCCGGGGTGCGTGGTACTGGCCCCGTGGCTGTAACCGTCCTGCCGTCCAGAGGAATCTGGCTGGGCCGGGGTGCGTGGTACTGGCCCCGTGGCTGTAACCGTCCTGCCGTCCAGAGGAATCTGGCTGGGCCGGGGTGCGTGGTACTGGCCCCGTGGCTGTAACCGTCCTGCCGTCCAGAGGAATCTGGCTGGGCCGGGGTGCGTGGTACTGGCCCCGTGGCTGTAACCGTCCTGCCGTCCAGAGGAATCTGGCTGGGCCGGGGTGCGTGGTACTGGCCCCGTGGCTGTAACCGTCCTGCCGTCCAGAGGAATCTGGCTGGGCCGGGGTGCGTGGTACTGGCCCCGTGGCTGTAACCGTCCTGCCGTCCAGAGGAATCTGGCTGGGCCGGGGTGCGTGGTACTGGCCCCGTGGCTGTAACCGTCCTGCCGTCCAGAGGAATCTGGCTGGGCCGGGGTGCGTGGTACTGGCCCCGTGGCTGTAACCGTCCTGCCGTCCAGAGGAATCTGGCTGGGCCGGGGTGCGTGGTACTGGCCCCGTGGCTGTAACCGTCCTGCCGTCCAGAGGAATCTGGCTGGGCCGGGGTGCGTGGTACTGGCCCCGTGGCTGTAACCGTCCTGCCGTCCAGAGGAATCTGGCTGGGCCGGGGTGCGTGGTACTGGCCCCGTGGCTGTAACCGTCCTGCCGTCCAGAGGAATCTGGCTGGGCCGGGGTGCGTGGTACTGGCCCCGTGGCTGTAACCGTCCTGCCGTCCAGAGGAATCTGGCTGGGCCGGGGTGCGTGGTACTGGCCCCGTGGCTGTAACCGTCCTGCCGTCCAGAGGAATCTGGCTGGGCCGGGGTGCGTGGTACTGGCCCCGTGGCTGTAACCGTCCTGCCGTCCAGAGGAATCTGGCTGGGCCGGGGTGCGTGGTACTGGCCCCGTGGCTCCTGCCCTACACCCCTCCCCTTGTCAGTCCGCGGGTCGGCCAGTGATGTTGGCGCGGGAGAGGGCGCATTCATGCACCTTTGTGCTGCAGGGCATCGTGGGGAACCTGTCGAGCGGCAAGTCAGCCCTGGTGCATCGCTACCTGACGGGCACGTATGTGCAGGAGGAGTCCCCGGAAGGTGAGCGCTGGGCAGGTCAGGCGGGCTCCACGCCCCAGTGAGACTTCTCTCTGGACAGTGCCAGCCGGGCGCCTGCCCACCCAGCCGCCTCGTGTCAGATGTGTCCCTGGGCGTCACCCACCCATCACCCCACCCTTTCCTCAGTGCCCAGCCTCGTGTCAGGCGTGTCCCTGGGGGTGTCACCCGCCCTACACCCCTCCCCTTGTCAGCGCCCAGCCTCGTGTCAGGCGTGTCCCTGGCAGTGTCACCTGCCCTACACCCCTCCCCTTGTCAGTCCCCAGCCTCGTGTCAGGCGTGTCCCTGGGAGTGTCACCTGCCCTACACCTCTCCCCTTCTCAGAGCCCAGCCTCGTGTCAGGCGTGTACCTGGGGGTGTCACCCGCCCTACACCCCTTCCCTTCCCTCAGCGCCCAGCCTCGTGTCAGGCGTGTCCCTGGGGGTGTCACCCGCCCTACACCCCTCCCCTTGTCAGCGCCCAGCCTCGTGTCAGGCGTGTCCCTGGGAGTGTCACCTCAGTGCCCAGCCTCGTGTCAGGCGTGTCCGGGGTGTGTCACCCGCCCTACACCCCTCCTCTTCTCAGCGCCCAGCCTCGTGTCAGGCATGTCCCGGGGTGTGTCACCCGCCCTACACCCCTGCTCACTGCGCCCCGTTGCTTTCCAGGAGGCCGGTTTAAGAAGGAGATCGTCGTGGATGGGCAGAGTTACCTGCTGCTGATTCGTGATGAAGGGGGCCCCCCTGAGCTGCAGGTAAGAGCCCCCGTCTCTGTCCGAACCGTGCCGCTTGGGAGCCCCGTGCGCACCTGGCAGCCGCGGGCTGGGCTGGGACCCGGAACCGCTCACGAGGTGCAGGACGGAGAGTGAGGCTGAGTCATGGCTCTCCGCAGGCACCCTGCGGCATGGAGGGGGGCAGGGGCTCAGTGGGGCGGGGACTT